AAAAAAAAAAAAAAAAAAAAAAAAAAAATGAAATTGCAAATTTCTAGGGTTGCACGAATCTAGAGACCACAAATGTTTTTTTAGAATGTTAAAACTTGCTTGGAAGATAAAAAAGTTATTAATCAATTTCTGTGGAATATCGTATGTTACTATATTATATATTACTTTAAGGTGTTGCATTCTTTTCCTTTTTGGCAAGCAGTATAAGTAACGTATTCTTAAATATTACGCGCATCTTTCAATTCATCAAGTCTAATTATCAGAAATTACATAAGCTTTAATTTTTTACTCTTCCAAAACTTGATACGAAGCTCTGTTAATGTTCTCTGTTTGTGTTTTGTTGTAAAGTTTCATGCAACAAGCGTCCACGTTACCCGGCGACGTTCTCCTAGTAACGGCGTTCATATCCTACGTGGGATGTTTCACGAAACAGTTCCGCCAGGATCTGTTACACAAGCAATGGCTACCATTCTTGCGTAGCGTGGAACCTACAGTGCCAATCACCGATGGGCTAGACCCTTTATCGTTGTTAACAAACGACACGCAGATTGCCAAGTGGAACAACGAAGGACTACCAAACGACAGAATGTCAACGGAGAACGCGACTATCCTGACGAGCTCGGACCGATGGCCCTTGATGATCGACCCTCAGGTACAGGTCGCTATCTGTCACGAGGTCACCGTAACATCGTTCACCGATCTCGATCATTATTTTTCCTCAGCTCCAGGGAATTAAATGGATCAAGCAGAAATATGGGGAGGAACTTCGCGTGATTAGGCTAGGGCAGAAGGGTTACTTGGACGTTATCGAGCAATGCCTAGCAACCGGGTCGACGGTGCTCGTCGAGAATATCGGCGAAACGGTGGATCCGGTGTTGGATCCGCTGTTGGGCAGAAACTTGATTAAGAAGGGTCGCGCGATCAAGATCGGCGACAAGGAGGTCGAATACAATTCGCTATTCAGATTATTATTGCACACGAAGCTGGCTAATCCCCATTACAAGCCCGAGATGCAGGCCCAAACTACTCTAATTAATTTCACGGTAACGAGGGACGGTTTGGAGGATCAATTACTCGCGGAGGTAGTGAAAGCCGAGCGGCCGGATCTCGAGGAGCTGAAGGCCGAGCTCACCAGACAGCAGAACGATTTCAAGATCACGCTCAACAGTTTGGAAGATTCTCTCTTATCGAGGTAACGTAACGATCTCCATTTCCTTTTCGCTTACTATTATATTTAATATCATATAATACAAATAACATTTTATACATATATAAATATTCGAAATTTTGCACGAATTCATGCGACGCTAATAATGGGACAATCTTCTCTTCTGCTGAAAAATGGTTGTAGGGATGAAAACACAGCTTCAAAGAAATCTTGATTTTTATGTTATTATTTACGATTCAGGAATCCCCCGAATTTTCAATATACGTCAAAGAGTTTTGATTTAACAAAGCATCTTTCTGTTTGTCTACGCGATCTGATTTCTATCGATATAAAAGTTGTGTGTTGTTGCATACTACTGTTATCAAGTTGTACAATATAAACGTTTCCTACCACAATATGTACTGCAAAATGCAACTTAACTTTTTCTTCTGTATCTCATAGCTATTCGTACTATTAATTCGTAACTATTCATACGATGATACGATGAGAATGAAGATTTCTCTGAAAGAGTATTTTCACACTTAGGAGAATTTTTAAGCAAGAAAAATGGATTGTTTCATGCGTTCAGTAGCTCTGTAAAATTTCCAACAAACAGCACGGATAAATAATCGTCGGTGCACAGATTGTCGTCAGCGGGCAGCAACGTTTTAGGAGATACGTCGCTGGTGGAGAACCTGGAGACGACGAAGAGGACCGCGGCGGAAATCGAGTCGAAGGTGACAGAAGCCCGTGGCACAAGTCGCGAAATCGACGCGGCGAGAGAATTGTATCGACCAGCAGCAGCCAGGGCCTCGCTCCTCTACTTCATCTTGAACGATCTGAACACCATCAATCCAATCTATCAATTTTCCTTGAAAGCTTTCAGCGTGGTGTTCCAAAAAGCCATCTCGAAGGCCGATCCCGCCCCGGACGTGTCCGCGAGAGTGAAGAATCTGATCGAGTGCATCACCTACTCGGTGTTCATGTACACGAGTAGAGGGCTGTTCGAGTGCGACAAACTGATCTTCGCGTCGCAGATGGCGTTTCAGATATTGCTCGCGAGGAACGAGGTAACTGCCGGAGAGTTGGATTTCCTCTTGCGATTCCCCATCACGCCGCACGTTACCTCGCCTGTCGATTTTCTTAGTAACACCAGCTGGGGTGGAATTAGGAGCCTCGCCAGCAGAGAAGAATTTCGGTAATCTCGAAATTTTCACTTGTTATTCGACGTAAGTCGAATTCGGATTTAATCGCGTGTCAATTATCGTCCTTTGTTTCAATTTTTTTTTTAATTTTTATTATTATTATATTTACCTTTTTTCCCTTTCACCTTTTCGTTATAAAATGCCAACAAGTAAGAACAGGTGAGGCCCTCAGAGCATATTTTTGATATTTTTGATAACAAAATATGCTGTCCGAGTGTAACAATCGTTTTCAGAATACTTGAGCCAGTATATTGCCTTGTACATTCAATGTGCTACATTTTTTGCTTTGAAAATCCAAAATAATAAATGATCACAATATGAAATTGACTTAAGAATAAGATTTGTCTGAATCTCATATAGAATAGAATTTGAAGAATCATCTATCTTTTCATTATATTCTTTACTAATGTGTCAATTTGACACTGAAGAACAAATTCAATTGGAGAAAGTAAAGATTAAATACTAACTTTATTTTCTGTAGCTAAATAATTTTTTTTATAAAAAGAAAGATGAGATATAATTGCCGGTAGGCTGACTGACGTCGCTGAAAGGGGAACATCATAAATCAAAATTTCGACATTTTAATTCAATAAATTTTATTTGATTTCAGTTGAATAATATTTTAGTAGTTTTGAGATTCAATACGTTGTCGATTGATCATAAATCAACCGAAATCGTCTTTGATTACAGAACTGAAAGATGCATTTTTCCGTCCGTGTTTGGTAATTTAGAAGACATTGCTTGTCACAAAATGAGAATGCCTTGTGGAAAATTTGAATTTTACAAAGATTTACACACACGAAGTCCTTGGTAGCATCTAGATTGTCTCAGGAAACGTTTTTGTTCTTATTGGCCCTGTACGATGATGTTCTTTCGCGCAGAAATTTAGATAGAGACATAGAGAGCTCGGCGAAGAGATGGAAAAAGCTGGTGGAATGCGAGTGCCCGGAGCGGGAGAAATTCCCACAGGAATGGAAGAACAAGACGACTATTCAGCGTCTGTGCATGCTCAGGGCACTACGCCCCGACAGAATGACCTATGCAATCGCAGCATTTATCGAGGAGAAGCTTGGCCCAAGGTACATCGAGGGTAGGACCGTCGAATTCGCCAAGTCTTACGAGGAAACCAGCCCTTCTACACCGATCTTCTTTATCCTTTCTCCTGGCGTGAATCCTCTGAAGGTAACGAAACCTTCCGAATGATGCCACTGACGAGACTGGGAAAAGGTATAAAAGTCCAACTTCAATCAACGCGATATAAGTCATCAGAAACATATTGTACGTATATTTTGAAGTGCAATGATATGTTTTAAACTTTCATGAATCAAGATCTAACAACTGACTTTATATTGCGTTTTCGGTTTAGATGTTAAAAGCAGCTTCGTTTTTGAATAATGTTGAATAATATAATAAATATAAATGTTGAATAATAAGCTTCGTGTTAATAAGCTTTCATTCGAAGCTAACTTCGAAACCAAGTGAAAAGTTTTTTTTTTTTTTAATGAGATACAAAAAACGTGTAAAAAATGAAACTTCTTCTTGTTACAAACTCTTCAATTTTGATTTATATCCTTCTCCCCGTCCCATCAGAGATATATGCAGACTGAGAATGTCTGCGTATATTGGAAATTTTTAAATGCAACAGTATAGCCATAATATATGAAAAAGTAAAAAAAATATTTTCTATAATATATATTTTATGCGTGAAACTATTTTCTACTCAGATTCCATTCTCCAAAAAAAGAAAGAAAATCTATATCCTGGTAATACACAAATTTGTCATATGTGTATTTTATTATACATGTATTTATTATACGTATTCTTTATCATTATATATTTCATACATGTATAACACAATTTTGTCGCGTGTACTCTCCTGGATAGTACTTAGAAATTTTCATTTAACCAGGATGTGGAAGACCTGGGTCGTCGTTTGGGTTACACGTTGGATAATCAAAATTTCCACAACGTGTCTCTCGGCCAGGGGCAAGAATCTGTCGCTGAACAAGCTATGGACGTGGCTGCGAAGAATGGACATTGGGTCGTCCTGCAGAATATTCATTTGGTGAAGAAATGGTTGCCACTATTGGAGAAGAAATTGGAAATAGCAGCCGAGGGCTCGCATGAAAATTATAGGGTGTTCATGAGCGCGGAGCCAGCTACCACGCCAGCAGGACACATCATCCCTCAGGTAATATTTTATCTTTCGTACTGTTGTGCTCTCGAGTATAAATATTGCAAGAATGCTTGAAGGCTCTCATCGTATTTTTTTTAAATTAAATTTAAGAACATTCCGGTTTGGTTCGTATATTTACAGAAATTTCAAGACGCGAAAGTAACTTAGTACAACTAGGTATAAAAATTACTCAGGCGCACAGCAGTATAATTAAATAGTTTCGATTAATATGAAATTAACGAACGATGAATCAGGGAATCCTCGAGTCGTCTATTAAGATTACGAACGAACCACCCACGGGGATGCAGGCGAATCTGCACAAAGCATTGGACAATTTCACCCAGGAGACGTTGGAGATGTGCAGCAAGGAGGCAGAGTTCAAGGCCATTCTATTTTCCCTTTGTTATTTCCACGCGGTGGTCGCCGAACGTCGGAAATTCGGTCCACAAGGCTGGAATAAAATCTATCCCTTCAACGTGGGCGATCTTCATATCAGCGTTAGCGTGTTGTACAATTATTTGGAGGCTACGTCCAAGGTGCCTTGGGAGGACTTGAGGTTCGTCCTGATCGAGTCGATCGTTTCATATCTTCTCTTCTGTCGTTGAGCAGCAAATTCCTTATTTTTTTCACTTCATTGATCCGTAATCCAAGTGTGTTATTAAAATTTCTCTAGAAATTTTAGAATTTTAGAATTTCGAAACAATAATCATAAACTCGCGAGAGAGTGAAATTTCAGGATAGAAGGAATTGCAGCGTGATGATATGATTTATGAATAATTGAAATTATTCAATACAAAGGTATCTTTTCGGGGAAATTATGTACGGCGGGCATATAACTGACGACTGGGACAGAAGGCTTTGCGTCTCCTATCTCGAGGAATTAATGCAACCTGAATTGGTCGACGGAGAATTGCAACTAGCGCCAGGTAAGGATCCTCGTCGATTTTTGAGACTTCAGGTGGCTTGATTGAAAATTCTTTGCTAGAAAATTATGATTTATTGAATTAAATATTATAAAGGGTTCCCAGCACCGCCAAATACGGATTTAGTCGGCTATCACGCCTATATAGACGAAGCAATGCCTCCAGAATCGCCTTATTTATACGGCTTGCATCCAAATGCAGAAATAGGTTTCCTAACTATGACTGCAGAGAACCTCTTCAAAACTGTCTTCGAAATGCAACCAAGGGATGCAGGTAGCTCTGGTGGACAAACAGTAACCAGAGAGGAGAAGGTAATCTTTTAAGGTAGCAGTAGAATTATCACAAATTTCAATAGAAAATACGTGTAATTTAAAGTGTGTAATTTAATAATATTAAATACTAGGATTATAAAACTTAAAGGATTGCATGATTAATGTAACTTTTCCGTTTATCAGTTTAGTGAATAATTTTTGAACAAACATTCTTCAACCGAATAATTCTTCCTGAAGTCCTAAAATAACAATGAAAAAAAAAAACCTAAGACTTATGAATAGGAATGTATGATTGATATAATTTTCTCGTTCATTGATAACAGGATTGGGCAAATTTTATTTGAGATAAAGATAAAGAACAACAGTTTAAAATAACAAGTCGTTTTCATTAATTTATTACTTTTATTCGAAAAATAACTTTATATTGGATCCAAACTGAATAAATCATTTTCAAACAATTCTTTATTCGAATTGATTCATTGAAATGAAAATAAAAAATAAATCTAGCAGGAGGAGAAATATATGTAATAAAATTAGAAATTATTTGAGCAAACAAATACAAAGTACAAAATGAAGTAAAATATTATTTTATTCAATAATCAAATAATGAATTAATTTCGTTTGCTTGTTCAAACAAACTAACGTAGAATTATTTCAAGATAATGTCGAATCAAGCAAGATGATGTGTTATTTAAATAATTATTTTTCAAGTGTTTCATTCAAATAATGCTTGATTGATTGATTGATGCTCTTCAGAATTCTATTCGTTCAACTTGCCCAAGTTAATAAAGAAATTCTTCAATGAGAGTAACTATTTTCATCCTGAAAGGTGAAGCAAATACTAGACGAAATAATGGAGAAACTTCCGGAGGAGTTCAACATGACAGAAATAATGGGCAAAGTGGAGGAGAGGACTCCGTACGTGATCGTGGCGTTCCAAGAGTGCGAGCGAATGAATTATTTGACCACCGAGATAAAACGGTCTCTACGTGAACTGGATTTAGGCCTGAAGGGAGAACTAACGATCACTTCAGACATGGAGGACCTGGAGAACGCGTTGTTTCTCGACCAAGTGCCACCTGTTTGGGCCAAAAGAGCTTATCCATCTCTCTTAGGACTCGCAGCCTGGTTCGTCGACTTGTTACTGCGAATCAGAGAATTGGAGACGTGGTCCACCGACTTTGTCGTAAGATAAGAAAAATTCAAAGAGCAATCTAATAGATTCAAATCGTTGTTATTGACATTACGCTGTTATTACGAGAGAGATGTTGTTTCTTCAGCTGCCACCGTCGGTCTGGTTGGCTGGATTCTTTAATCCTCAGTCGTTGCTCACGGCTATCATGCAATCGACAGCTAGGAGGCAGGAGCTTCCGCTTGACAAAATGTGCTTGCAGTGCGATGTGACGAAGAAGAACAAGGAGGAGTTCACGTACGTGAATTTCACCTTGTTCGTTTAGAATAGAATTTGAAATCGTTGATAAATGAATCGAACGACAATAAGACAGAAAATTTATTAATAAAATATTTAATTCCTGGATAGAACCACAACCAGTGTATTGATTGACGAGAGATTTAGAGATTTAGAGAAACTA